TCCAATGGAGAAACAAATTTTCATTTACACTGAAGTGTGGCTGACAAAAATCTTTCAAAACACGAGATCCCTGTTCAAATAATAATAATAAGAAGAATCTGGAAGTCAGGACACAGGTGAGAACCACTGCGGGGTTCTCCCCTGCTGTCTGCCATCAAAGAGGGTCAGGGAACTCTACTTTAGTTCAAAACTTAACTACTTCAAAACGGATCAGGGACCATCAGAGCAATTTCCTTTAACATTTCCTGAACCTCTGTAACAGCCTCAATTCTTGAATTCTTGGCATTTTGCAGTAAAACCCCTTAAGCCTTTAAGAAGGGCTGATGCGTACACAGGGCAGTGAGGTGGGAGGGAGCTGCTTAAGTCCAGCCGCATCCTGCCCCCAGTTGTGTGGGGAGCAGAACGGCCCAGGGGGAAAGACAGCCAGAGGAGAAAAGGGGTGGTTGGCTGGCCCCGGGCGTACCCCCCCAATGACCGGCACGCAAGATCAGGGCTGGGACGCGTGGTGCAGCAGTCACCACCTGGCAGGCCCCACTTGCTACCGCAAACCCTCGTCCAGAGTGCTCACCTTGGTCAGCCCACACCTGGGCGCTCTGTGCCCCTCTCCGGATTTGGGCTCTCTGGACTTAACTCTGCCATCCATTGGTACCCAGGCCAGCCGGGAAGTAGAAGTCCTTTCTTTGGTTGGCAGAAGAGGAACTGAAACTCAGTGAGGTCACGTAACACACGGAGGGCCACCCAGAAGGAAGGGGCAGGGCCCCGATTCCAGGCTGGAGTGCCTGACCTGGAGCTGGGCTCTCTGCCCTTCCCCCACAAGTCCCACCGCACCAGTTTTCCTTTCGTTTCCTGAGCTCCAGCTACGGCTCAGGTGAGTGACACCCCAGCAGTGTACCCTCAGCTGTTTTCTCCTCTCTTCCTGGGAGTGACTTTAATCTCCTCAGAACTAGATGCTTGAGGTCAGGGGCCAGATCTTTAGGTATTCTGAGGCCTGGAGGCTCAGAGGAGGCTCTGGGTGAATATGTGCATATTGATCGGCCCTCCCCTTCAACTCCGCAGTGCATCTCCTTCTAAGCACAAATCTCATGAACCCCGGAGCCCACGGGGGTCAGCCAGGGCAGGGACTGCTACAAGAAGCAAGGTCAATGGTCGGCAGGAATTACCAGGGGTGTCTGTGTTCCCTCTCTCCTTTCCACTTCTTTCCATAGTCTCCCCCCTCAGCCACCCCCCCAAAACAACTCAATGAAACAACTGAACCTCCTTCTCCATTAAGGGGTGTGCTATTAATATATAATATTACCATTACATGTCATATACTCTTAGTACATACTATATATATATACACACACACTATTAGATATTATATATTACTATTATGTACTATATAATAATTGTATATAGTAATATAAATAATAATAAATAAAAGTAATATACAGTATATAATAATATATAATACTGTAAATAATATATAATAGTAATAGTATATATAGTATATAATACTAACAGTATATACTATAATATGTAATTATATAATATGTATTTATATATTAATAGCATATAATATTCAGCATGTTGTTATATATTACATATTATATACTATACATTACTGTATCTTACATAATTACATATATAATATTATGTTTTATATAACTATATTAGAGTATACATGTCTTATACTAACTCCTATGGGGTTTAACAAAGGTGGTGGTCAGCATGGATTCTGTGCCAAAAACCTGGGCACACAGTGCTGATATGGGAGCCACAATGCCTCCTGCAAACGGATTTATGGGAAGAGACGACCTCGGGGCTGACAAGGCTGCTGTAAATGCGGGTCAGGGGATGCCATCACGTCGCTGTCTTCTAGGCTCAGGAATGGCTCAGAGAGAGGGCTCCTTCCCACTGCCAACTACTCAAGAATAAAGCATGCTGAGGTGACATCTACTGGGCAGGAGGCACATCTGGACAGTCCGCCTGGAAACATACCCGCGGGAGGATGATGACAGACATGGTCACCCTGAACAGGCAGCTCTCAATCAGAGTGTGGCTTATCCGCTTTGCAGATAGTCAGTGTCCCCTCCTGCTCATCTCACACATAGTTCAGAGTTCCCACGGACCTCTGGTTGCTGGACTGTGTGCAAAATCATCTTCATATTAACCTTGTCCAAAAATTCAGGAAATTAAACCGGTTGCAAAAAAAACCCTATGATGACTTCCCTGGCCAAGCAGAAGTGATCTGTAGGATGTGTCTGAATCATTGCCATTGGTCCTCCTTGAGGGCTGAGCCTGCACTATTTCCAGCTGCAGGACTATTATTTCAACTTGGACTTGAAAAGGCCCCTCGGCATCTTCTGATACAATGGTTTTCCAGTTTTATCTTAGTGGGAGGGCCCTTTCTTCAAAGGAAATCCTAGCTGGATGCCAGCCCATAACTCAGATTAACCCCCAGCTGTTGGAGTGAGGGACCCATGGCCCTGCTTATGGGGCTTGCTCCTCCCTCAAAAGCTCCTAGGAGCACAATTTGAAAAGCATGCCACCATTCCCTGCTTATTAAGTTATTCGCTCGATCACCGACACAACGTTTTCTGAGTACCTACTATGTTCCAGGGGCTGGTGAGCCAGCAGGTAGGAGGACCGGGGGAGGGCCCTGCTTTCCAGAATCTTCCAGTATGGCTGGAGATAGCAGAGCTAAGTTCAGACGATGGTAAGTGCTATGAAAGAATCAGATCAGGGCAATGTGCTTGTGGCCCAGGAGGAAGCTACTTTAGATGGGGGATTGAAGAAAGGCCTCTCTGAGGCAGTAAAACCTGAGCGGAGGGCAGAACAACCGGTTGGACAGATGCCCTGATTTTGACCAGTGAGGAAGCTGACCCAAAGAGGTGAAGTGATGTTCCCCAGGACACACAAGTTGAGAGCCGAGCCAGGACTTGACCCTGGGTTTCCAGGCCCCCTGGCCAGGGCTCTTACCTTTCGCAGTGTTGGCTACACAGCTGCTACACGCAAATAAGGCTCTGTAACGGGGGATATCTAAGTGCCCACAAAACCCCACACCTGCCCTGGCATTCAGGGCCGCCTGTCATGACTCTTAGTGCCCTCTCAGCCCTCCTCAGCCGGTTTGAGTCTGGCTCTGTACCCCAGAAGACAGCACCATGCAGTTGCCATCCCATACCCATGACGTTGCTTGGGAAAACTCCCTCCTCTCTTATGTCCCTGGCTTCAAACTGTGGAAAGGGCTCTTTACTGCTTCTGTTGGTGGCATGAAGATAAAAGCAAGATGGCGGCTCACCCAGAAGAAGGCTCCCTGCAAAGTCAAGCTGCTCTAGGGTTACACAACTTAAAGGCCAGCCAAGCCAGTTTTCCTCCTGGGCTGTAGAAGGCTTTCATACAAAACCTCCAGCACCGCAAGGTCTGTACGGATCAAACACACCAAGAGTCCAAAGCTGGGCTCTAGGCACACGCTCCTGCTGAATATCATGGGAAGCAGTATGCAAATGGCTCCCTTTACTAACCCCAGCCAAATAGCTCCGGGCCCTCAAAGTGTTCCCCAAGCCTCAGACTCCACCCCATGTGCCCAGCATTTGCCCTTCGCCCTCCGAGCCTAAGGCTGTCCCAGCACTTTCCCAGGCATTAGCCAATTTGAGCCTCCAGTACCTCCTGAGGTAGGCAGGACAGCAGTTCTTTTTTTTTTTTTTAAGATTTTATTTATTTATTTGACAGAGAGAGACACAGTGAGAGAAGGAACACAAGCAGGGGGAGTGGGAGAGGGAGAAGCAGGCCCTCCGCTGAGCAGGGAGCCCGATGTGGGGCTCGATCCCAGGACCCTGGGATCATGACCTGAGCCGAAGGCAGACGCTTAACGGCTGAGCCACCCAGGCGTCCCAGGACAGCAGTTCTAAATCGCATTTTGCACACAAGCAACTGAGCCACTGAGAGACCTGTGCAGGGAACATCACTAGTAACATAGTAACAACCACTGAATTATGATTCAAACCCAGGGCTCCAGATTCCAAAGGTAGCTATCATCAAGCTGCTCACAGATTAAACACAGAGTATCCACCCTGGTTTAATACCACACTCATTCCCTCTCTCCCTTCCACCTACATCTTATGCCCTGGAGTGTACTAAGGAGGGTTTCCAGAAGCTGCCTCTTCTCTTCTTGCTATCCCTGCCTCATACTGTGTGCCCACATGCTGGAGAGATCTGTAGCAATTTAGACCCAAGGTGAGATGCTCTCCTGTCCAACCTGACTGACCCCTCCTTCCTTTCATATTTTCATATTTTCAGCCAGTTCACGCTTCTCAATACTGAACATACCACTGGGAAAATACACCCTAGAACCATCCACATCTTCCTTCTTCCCATACCAAACCGGCCAACTGCACCTGCAGGACTGGACAGGCAAACACAGGTGACGGGGCCTGCATAGCCATGTCCCCACAAATACACAGATGTGTCCCCATGGGACACAGAAGCCACACCAGCTGCCAGCATTTAGCAAACTCTGCTAACTCTATACAATTCTAGCTAGGATTACTCTGGACCGGTCACCCCGGGCTTATGCCTAAGAGCCAGCTACCAGAATCCAGGTGGACAAAGAAAATGACATTTTGACGAGAAACCGACAGGCACCGAGCACGCTGGGCGGCACAAGACACCCAGAAGCCCAGAGCCCTCTCCCAAGGCTATAAGCGCAGAAAGGCGGACTCGTGACTCAAGAGTATAATTAGGGACACAAACGCTGCGACCCCCGCAGAGCCCAGTGCGCGCCCGCGTCCACCCAGAGGAACCCGAGGCCTCCCGCCCCCATCCGCATCCAGAGTCGGCTGGCCCCCGACCGCCCAGGCCCGGTCCGGCTCAGCACGGCGGGCCGCGCGGCACGGGGAGGGAGGTGGGGGTGCGACCCGCCCCCCGCCTCCCCCCGCCGCCTCCCCCCGCCGCCTCCCCCCGCCTCCCCCGCCCCGGCCCTCCCGAGCCCCGCGAGCGGCTCCGCCGCCCCCCGCACTTACCCGGCCTCGCGGGCCGCCGAGCTCCGCACGCAGCGACGGGGGCGGGAGCTTCGGGAGGCGCGGCGGCGCTCCGGGCACTCCCAGCGGGAGAGCGTCAGGGTGCGGGCAGCCAGGCTCCAGCCCAGCACCCCGGGCACTTCCTGCCGGCCCGCCCCGCCCCGCTTCCCGAGCGCCCACCCTCCCGGCTCGCCCCCTCTGAGTCCCAGGCTCCGTTCCTCCCAGCCGGGCTGGCCTCGCCCAGAAGTCCAGAGCTGGGCCGCGTCTTTGTTTGGGAGCTGGCCTCTTTTCAATTCGGAGCTCATAGAGCCAATTAAGTCGGAGTTAGGGGCAGCTGTGTGGTTGCCCGGGGATCCCTGCGAGGAGGGGAGGGGAGGCTCACAAACCCGCGGCTCCCCCGCTCCCCCTTTCCCAGACCCGGGGGGGGGGTGGGGGAGGTTTCTCTCTCAGGTCTTGCTTTCTTCCCCTGGGTTGGTGCGTGGCTCAGGTCCGGGGAGACATTGGCCTGCGGGGGCTCCCAGGGACTCTAGGGACAAGCCCCTCTGATCCCAAAGAGCCGCTCCTCTCTCTCTGCCTGCCCCCTATATATAAGGAAGCCTCCCATCAGTGCCCTGTCCCAGCGAGAGCCCTCTGGACCATGGGCTTGGCTTTCTGTTTCCTGGGCCCAGGAAGCCTCAAGACCTCCTCCCAGACTGGAGAAAAGAGGAAGAGTAGACACAGCACAGGCCGTGCCCTGGTTGAGAACAGGTGCGAAGCTGCGGAGAACTGGCTCTGTTCTACCTGTGCAGCAAATTATTTCTCAAAGTAACAAAGGCCTGCGCTTATCCACCCACGTTCTTCTGAAACTTGACTGCAGCAAGCAAGGTTACCAATTTACTAGGGCGCTAGGTCAGGGAAGCCCTTGGAAGCAGGGATTGCTGACAGAAGCATAGCACCGAGCAAAAATCAGCAGAGCGGACCAGGTGGAGGTCGCAGGAGGTGATTCCAGTGGTCCCTGTGAGGGGCAGGCCTGAAATGGGGGTGAATGTGGAAGATGCAGCGGACGGGGGGCTCCACAGAGCTTGCTGTGTGTGTCATAGATGGAGGGGTAGCTAGGGGGTCTGAAGAAGGACCATGCCGGTGCTTTGAGTGTGGAAGTCTGGAGGAAGACCTGGAGTGCTGTGAAGCAGAGGGAAGATAAGATGGAGGGAGTCTGGACAATGTAGAGAGGGCTGGGCTGAGGACAGAGCCCAGGTGGAAGCTCGAAAAGGAGCCAGTGAAAGAAATTGACACCATCCAGGAGGGCCAGCACTCATGCAGAATGCTCAGATCCAGGAGAAGCCTGGGCTACAGGGACACCGAAGAGGAGGGCACCCAGGAGGAGGGCACCCAAGAAAACAGGTTAGACTTGGAGCTGAAGAGATCTTTGGGAGACTTTTGAGAGAATCATTTCAGGATAAGGAGTATAAGCCACATTGCCCTTCCTTGGGGGCATCAGGTCTGATCAGTTGATGCAGGGATACAAAGGCACATCCTCTTACTTTCAGACAGGAGGACCCTGAAGGACTATTCTAGCTCCAGAGCTTCCCAAGGGATTAGCAGAGGCCTCTGTGGAAACTGCACCTCGGTTCAAGTTCACTCTCTGTCCAGTCCCACTTCCTCACTTTCTTACAGGCGTTGTTCCCAAGGCTATTTCCCGAGACCTCCATCTCCATGTAGAGTCTGTTTCCCAGAAATCTGACCTGAGATGGGGGCATCAAGAGAGAAGGGGAGTGTGAAGTCGAGGGGGTGAGGACAGAGGGCATGAACAGGGAGCACCAGCGTTAGGGAGGAGAGGCAGAGCAATATGGCAGGAGAGAGGCTTGAGCAAGCCTGTGACGGCCTCTCCCTCTGACCTTCTTGCAAGACCTCTAATGAAGCAGACCTCTTGTTAAGACCTTGACTTCTAATGAAGTAGTTTCAAGAGATGGAGGTTGCCAGAAAAAGTCAGAGAAGGTGGTGTTAAAGGATGAGACAGAAATGGGGAGGGAGAGAAGAACTCTTCACAGTAGAAATGGGTTTTCCCAAAGCCAGGCAGAGGAGAGAAGGGGGAGCAGGCCGGAGGAGAGAGAATGCTGTCGGTGGGTAAGGATGAGGGGAAGTGCGTGTTCACAATGTGAGTAACATTAAACCAGTAATTCAGAAAGAGAGGGTTGGAAAGTGTTCTGGAGGGACCTTGTAGCAATATGAGAGGGCAAGTGATGAATGAGCCCCTGGACCAGGATATCCCCTCTCCAGCATTATCCCCAGGAACATTAAACATCTAGAGCAGAGAACCAATAGAAATACGATATGTAATTTACAGTTTCCTAGTAGCCACATTAAAAAATGTAAAAAGAAGAACCAGGTGAAATTAATTTTAATGATACAATTTTATTGCACACAATATATCTAAAGTATGTATGTTCATTTCAATATGCATCAATATCAAAATTATTAATGAGCTACTGTACGTTTTCTTCCTGCTAAGTCTTCCAACTCTGCTGTGTATTTTATACTCAGAGCACATCTGAGTTTAGACACTACATTTTCATCAGAAATACTTGATCTGTATTTAGATTTCATAATGGTTATGGTTGAAGAAGTAGAGTTACAAACCTCAGTTGCTTCATACATACTTATGCTTCCCAATAACCAAACCAAATGGTCAGTTTTAAAATTGAATTAAAATTAATTGAAATACAAAAAAACGTAGTCTTTCTGTTGCACTTCGCACATCCCAAGTGCTCAATAGCTGCACGTGGCCAGTGGCTGCCACACCAGACTGCACAGGTCTAGCATATGAATTCCTAGACTTGTGGACTTTGTCTTGTTTTGTCCTCACCTTCTGTGAAGGACGGGCCCTGCCCTCACCATGGCTCCACTAACAAGATCCTACTCTGTTGCATTTTATTCCACAGAACTCACTTGAAGATGATGAGGGAGCAGGTGGAGAATCTAAGATCTGTGGGGAGGGAAGGGGGTCTGGCTTGGGCCAGGCGAGGAGTGAAGAGAATGGGACATGAGTCGGAAGTCTTCGGTACAGTTACTCTGTGTTCACACGAAGAATATTGTCATTTTTTTTCCAAGGATTGAACTGAGAATGTAAGAGACAGCTCTTGTTGTCATGGTCTCCCCAGTTAGTGGTTTCCCCTGAGCTCCAAGCACTGGCATAGTCACAAACGCTTGGGTGTGGCTGCTAGGTCTGGACCTCATTTTTCGCATCTGCAAAATGGGAAGAGCAGTCTCTTATTTAGGGAGAAAAAAAAGGGAGGGGTTGTGGAATCCTAAGCATGAAGCTACAGTGAAAGAGGGCTTTTGGTCCCAGATTGGGAGACCTGTGCTCCTCATCCAGGTCTGGCATATCCTCTGCCCCTGCTGGGGGCCAGTGGCTTCTGTTTTCAGTCCGCACTCTGGCACCATTACATCTGGTAGAGTGATCCAACATGGAGAGCTGGAGTAGAGAGGTTGTAGAGACTTTCTGAGAAATGTAAAAATAATAGTAATAACACTTAGGCTCCTTTGCTCTATAACGACCTGTCCCTGTTACTTGGAGTTACAGGGTAGATCTCATGGGATCCCCTCCATGCCGGCACATATCCTTGCTCCCTGCCAACAGTATCTATATCCATTCCCAGAAATCAAATTTCTGTATCTATTCCTAGAAATAGAAAAGAGTCACAGAAAATACCTTTGTGCATATGGATGGTTACACATACACATACACACACACATGCGCACACCGCTCTGCAGAGTGTGATCTGGTGTTGTTGGCATCCTCAGGAGGCATGGTACATTAGCTTAGCTCAACATTCAGGTTGTACCATCGCAGGTCAGGATACATAAAACTTGGATGTCTCCATCCCCTGAGCACAAGCCTGTCTTTCAAAACGGTTTCCAGTCACTCCCTAGGAAGGTTGCAAGGAAATGAAGGAGCCTGTCACGATCTCTCCTCCTGCCCCCCTGACATTCCTGCTGGGTTACACTGCCATGCTGCTGTGGTCCTGATAAGAACTCTTTGTACAGACTCCGAGCCATTCCCAAGAAAAACAGCTCCGTTCTTGGAGGTAGAAAAACTCGGGTAGAAGTCTCGCCTCTCTGCATACACATCAAGCAGTGTGTCTGGCAGCCTGTTTCCCCTTTAAATCCTTAAAATGGGGAAAAACTCTTCCTGAGAGCCTTTCTACCCTCTTAGAGAATGGAAACTGGCCTTGGTTTCATCATCCATGTGAAAAATAGAGCTACATATCATCTGGTCAGTACCTTTCCTCTTGCAGAAGGACTGGCAAATGATCAGATGTTAAATATTGATCAGTTTTGATTAGCTTGAATTCAACCTGCATTTGACTGTGAACGTGATGACTTAGCCTCCTCATTTTTGCAATGATATCTGGTGTTTCATAGGAGGTGGTAAAGAAACGATTGTGGAATCGAACTGTACAATCTCAGGTATAATGCCCATGAGAGATATGTTATACTAGATGTAGGAGATTTTAAACTGTTGTGAGATAGACTTCTAATGACATCAAGAACACTCCTTGCACTAATTAGTGCTTGAAATAATTATTGATCTTTATTAACAATGTCAAGATAATTGCTCAGATGTCCAGTTGCTTGAAATGCTCTCTTGGCATTCTACATGAAGGACTTTACAGACTGGTTCTCTCCCAGGAGAACATTATTTAAGGCAAAACATAGAAAAGCACATCTAGGGTACAGCAAACATAAGTACAGACAGCTGAGCAAATATATAAATAACATGCAAAATGACACTTAAATATTTACAGCTTGAATTTTTTAGTATGTGTAGCACATGCAGCTAGTCCTCTTTCATCTTCCCCAAGTTTTCTAGAGACTGCTTCTATAACTGGGGCAGAGGCTTTTCCAGGCATCCAAGGTCACCTGCTGGGGAGGAAGAGAAGCCTTTGGATAAACATGATGAATATTCCCAGAGCATCTATGTTAAAATTTATTTTTTTGGGGGGGGGAATACATTTTCAATATATTTTCAAAAGTGTAACATCTGTATATGCTGATTGTAGAAAAATTTGATCAATATAAAATATTAAAGAAGAAAGTAAAATTATCTGAAATCGTAGCCATCAGAGATAATCACCATGTTATTTTGGTAAATTGTGTCTGTGTGCATGTGTGTGTTTGTAAG